GGGACACGGGTGGGTGGCTGCAAATGCAGGAGCAGCCATCAGGCCCCGTGTGACCCAGAGCCCTGAGGAGGCATCTAACCAGCTGAGAGGACCAGGGGAGGTGTCCCAGAGAAGGGGACTCTAGAGGTACAGTACAGCCGAGAAGGTGGCCAGAACATTCTCATCTAATCCACACATCTGCGAAATCAAGAGCAAGGATTTTGTCTTGTGCATCTTTGTTTCTCCCAGCAACAGGCCTGAGCCTGGCCTGGAACAAACATTAATGGAGACAAGGAAGGAAGGGAAGCAAAACCGGAAGGTCGGGAAGAAGGCGGAGGCTACGGCTTGGCACGGACAGGGCAGGGCTGCACGGGGGTGTGGCAGAGAAAGTGGGAAACAGAGGCACAGAGCTGGGTTGTTTTGTTCTGACAGGTCCTGGCTCAGTGGCTTTGTGGTCACTTTACCTCTCTGAGCATCAGTTTTCTCATCTGTACAGTGGGGTAATAATGCCAGGACCAACTTCACAGGCTGTTGTTAGGCTGAAAAGCGTATGTAAAAGCATTTTTAGCAGATATTAGGATTATTCATGTTATAGCTGATGTGCTGAGAAATAGCCTACTGAAAACTATTGCCTACTACTCCCCAGTAGGCAAAGAAATGGCTCCAGGGGCCACTGCTGAAAGCCTGGGACCACCCGTGAGCTCTGACACTAAACTGGCGACCTTTTGAACAATTCCTCTAGGTTTTCCAGCCACATTCCCAGGGGAAAGCCAGAGAAGGGAGGCCCAGGTCTGTCTCAGCCAATAGACAAACTCTAGCTAATTAGGCAGAAAGCTAAGAACCCAGGAGGAAAAAAGGGATCTGAACAGGAAGGCAATAAAACGATTACTCCATTAGACCTAGAGTGCCAAGGACTTAGACTGCTTATGTGAAGACAGTGTCCTGGTTTCCTGATGAGGAATCAGGAGCTCAGAGAGATGATGGGACTTTCTCAAGATTATAAAGCTCAGAGGACATAATCTGAGCTGCCCAGGTGAGTCTAGCCGCAAAGCCCAGGAGTTCCCCAGAACATCTCTCATCAGCTTAATACAGGAGGCCTCCAAATACAACACTCAGCTCCTTGTGACACCTGCCCAGGGACAACCGGGCTGAGAGCATGGCCAGATGCATCAGCACCCTCCATGACACCAGCACCTTCCAAGCTCCACCACCTTCCATAACACTAGCCCCTCCCACAGCACCAGCCCCTCCTACAGCACCAGCCCCTCCCACAGCTCCAGCCCCTCCCACAGCACCAGCCCCTCCCACAGCACCAGCCCCTCCTACAGCACTAGCCCCTCCCACAGCACCAGCTCCCCACAGCACCAGCCCCTCCTACAGCATCAGCCTCCCACAGCACCAGCCCCTCTACAGCACCACCCCTCCCACAGNCACCCCTCCCACAGCACCAGCTCCCCACAGCACCAGCCCCCCTACAGCACCACCCCTCCCACAGCACCAGCTCCCCACAGCACCAGCCCCCCTACAGCACCACCCCTCCCACAGCACCAGCTCCCCACAGCACCAGCCCCCCTACAGCACCACCCCTCCCACAGCACCAGCTCCCCACAGCACCAGCCCCCCTACAGCACCACCCCTCCCACAGCACCAGCTCCCCACAGCACCAGCCCCCCTACAGCACCACCCCTCCCACAGCACCAGCTCCCCACAGCACCAGCCCCCCTACAGCACCACCCCTCCCACAGCACCAGCCCTTCCCACAGCACCAGCATCTACCATAGCACCTTGCATAGCAAAATCAGCTTTAGAAGGAGGTCTTCTCTCTGCACGCCCCCCTCTTCTCAAGTAAACCCTGGCAATGACTGCAAGAGCCTTCTTGCTTTAGAAAAGACAACAATTCCAGCAATTCTTTCAGCCCACCTTCCTCAGCTGCGTCTGCCACCCTGCTTTCCTCTCTCTCACAGCATAATTGCCACGAGCTGCTCTCTCGGGTCAGTGTTGAGTGTGCAGTCATAAGCCGCTTCCCCTCTGCGAAGGTATTGAAACAGGGGACGGATGCGTCTTTGCTGTCCCCATGGTTACCTCTGCCATGAGCAATATGCTGGAGGGCGGCCCAACCTCATACTCTCTGAGACTAACGGAGTATCTGACTTCCAGCCCTGGATTCCAGCCCCAGTCTCCATCCTGTGCTCCAGGCCAGTTACTTCCAAGGGTGGTCAGACCACCAATCCCCCCCCCCAAGGGCCCCAGCCTCCCACTTCAGTGGATGGCAGCCCCCTGTTCCAGTCAGGCAAGCCAACTCCGAGGAGCCCCCAGGCCCTCCCTCTCCAACCACCTGCACCCCGAGCGGCGCTGCAGCTGCCAGCTCAGACCCCACACTTTTGTAACTGCCACCCCAGCCTCCTTCCCGATGCCCCGTCTAATCTCCCAGCAGCCCCCTGTGCCCCCAGGCCTGGGGGGCTCTCTTAGGAAGGCAAATGGCCTAATGGCTGCGCACAGCCTCTCATAAGCAACGGACTTCGCTCCATTCCTCCCACTTTGTCCCAAGGGGCAGGGCCGCCCCTGACAGCGCAGGCAGAGGGCTGCCCCCGACCCAGCGCTTTCCCTCCTGACCCCCAGGCCTAATGTAGCCGAGCCGCATGGGGCTGGTCCCAGCCCCCCTTTCCCCTCAGTTGACAGGCTTCTGTGCCAACCTGTGCTCACCAGCTGCAGGCAGTGGGACCGAGCAGAAGGCCCGCGGCTCCGAGCGCCAGCTCTGCCGCTGGCTAGTGGGGTAAGCAAGTCACGCCACCGCTCTGGCCACCGTCCCCCGCAAGGATCGGGCAATCATACCCGTTTCTCAGAAGCCCGTGGGTGCCCGACGCGATAAAATAACCACATCGCCAAAAGCGGCCAAAGAGAAAAGGCGCCGACAAAACCACGGCCCAGCGCGGCCGCCACAGCGCAGGGGCAGTTGGACACGTGCCTCGCACTGTCCTTGTGCCCTGCACGCTTGTGTTTTTCATAGTTCCCATCCCAGAGAACATACGATCGTAACCCCGGCTTTTCCCACATGATCTTCTCGAAGCATTTGCCTGAATTATTACTTGCCTTCATAACCATCATTTTATATGACTGCAAAATCAGGAACAATTTCATCAAAAGCTTGTAACACTCTGTTTGGTAAAAAGAGCAAATTTTAAAAATAACTTTACTTTTATTTGTTATTGAAATAGTACATGCTCGTATAAACTGTGGAAAGCACAGGGAAGTAAAATAAAGAAGTTTCTCAGGAGCCCATAATTCAGCATAAACTACTCTGGAAAAAAAAAAGCGACTCTGGGAAACTTAAAATAGCCCACCCTATGGGTGTGGTCCTGCTTACGGACTAAGGAGAGAGTTGTCGGCAATCTAGCACCCTTTCTAATGCGTTGGTTTTATAAATAACAGTGCAGTAAACAGTCTTCTCCATGAATCTGGGCATATTCTGAAGCCCCCTGCCGCCAGGAGACAGGTCACCTTTACTCCCGGGCCCCATGCACATGTACGACACCCCAGTACCCCGCCCTCCCCACACAGCTACCTGCTGGCTCTTGTGTGCGCCTGCAGTTAGCTCAGGCCAAGTCCACGTTTCCTGGCCCCAGGCTGTGTGCCAGACACTGAAGCCACAGCCAAAAATAAGAACCACTCCTGCTCTCAAAGAGCGGTCAGCATCCTGGAAGTCCCCATTCTGGGAAGATGCCACACTCCCTCCGGCTGCTGGAACACAGATTCCGCACGAGGAAGACAGGGACAGAGCCGGACCTGTGTGCTTACCCATGTCCACAGGCCAATTCCCATGTAACCTACCCAGCGCTGCTTTCACTTTCAAAGCCCCCACGTACAGTGGACACAAAACAGTTACTATTAGCTGTGCGCTTACCGTGTACAGAGCCAAGTGCTTTGCATGTATTCTGTACGTTGCCTCACAGCAATCCTCCTTTTATCTCCATTTGATAAATGAGGTTCACTGCCCTGCTTGTGGCCACATGGCTAAAGTCCAGCCAGACTGCTCCAACTTCCACCCACAGGACCACCTGTTCTGCTGCCTCCACGGCTGACTTTGCCTCCTAAACATCTTTTAGGTCTCCCCATGTCTCTATCCACTCACCATCCTTGTCTGAGCCACTGTTGACTCTTACTTGGACTACTGAAGTAGCCTAATAGTCTCCCCACAGTTCCTCTTGCCCACTACAGTCCATCAGCCACATAAAAGCCAGTGCTTTGGTCAAAACCCAAACTCAATCATGTCTCTCCCCTTTTTATAGCCTTTCAGAGGCTCCTAGCATAAAACCCAAACTCCTCCATACAGTCTACTAGGCCTTGGATTGTCTGCCCTCTGCCCACTTCTCCTGCCTCATCTCTACCTGTTCCCCACACCCCTCTTAGAGCCCAGCCTCAGTGTTGGGACCAGACTCCCTCCAGCCTCAGGGCCTTTGCACAATCCTTGCTCTCCTAAGTGACTTCCCCAGGAAACTTCCCAGAGGCTCCTCCTTCCAAGCCCAGAGAGCACGCTTCATGGCTCCTTCATGCAACTTGTCCCAGTGACACAGGTTCCTCCACTGAGAAACAGAAAGGCAACCACTTGGTTTTTCCGCTGAGAAGTCAGCTTTTCTTTCCCTTTGTCTTTATTGCATTTTGTTGCAACCATCTCCTGAGCAATATCTGAGTTTCTTTATACATCTTTGCCACATTTCCTGGAGACTGAGATGGTCAGGCAGAGAGATGGGGACAGGAAGAGAAAGGAGAAATGAAATGCATTTGTCAATACCAAGTTACCCAAACATTGCCGAGCAGAAGAGAGCATGAGTCATCCTCAAGAGGCGGAGCTTTTTATTCGATTAGACTCAGGGACCCAGACAGTGTGGCCCCGAGAAATGGTCCAGAAATAGCCCATGTGATTTTCCAATCTCCAGTAGGACCAGCTCCACTAGTGTGGGGTGTCTGAGCCAGCCCAAGCCAGCCTTACCTTTATCTTTCGGTTACACCATCAAGACACTGACCGTAAATTCGGCGATTTTCGGCACCCGGAACTTCCCTTTGTTCTTCTGCTCGGGCTGATACTCTGTTCTTGTCTTCACGATCACCTGGAATGTTCAAGCAGAGTCAGCGAGTGTGGAGACTTCAAACACTTCACTAGAATTTATTGCATGTTGTATAAAGAGCAGAAAACAAAGAACCTCCCTCTCAAAGCACACAGAAGAAAACAGAAAATTCAAATTACCCACAACCCTTCCCGTTCTAACAGAGACCACCATGGGCAGCAATTTGGGTCACACCTCTCCAGATGTTTTTATATGCATAGAGATGCAGATATTATGTATACTTGCTATTTGTGCAAACACATAGATCCTTTTATGATGGCTTTATACTCTATGAATTATAACCCGCTTTTATCACACAACACTATACTAACATTTTTTCCCATGTAGAAAAGTGTGTATTTTGCCTTTTGATGTAGCATAATATTCAGTGTGTACATATACTACAATTAATCTAATTAACCTCTATTGTTGAACACTTAGACTGCTTCTACATTTTGGGTTATGCTAACAGGCCGTGATAAACATCGTGTAGCTACACCTTTGCACATATACTTAATTCTAAATTGGTTTAGGGACTTCCACAAAGAGAAACATAAAGGGCTATTGGATCTATGCTATTTTTCTAAAGTCTGAATGTTTTGCAGAAGTGGTTAATATCTTACCAAGATACATTGTCAGCCTGCCAAGACTTGCATGGAACTCTGTCCCACTATGCAGGCAAAGTGGAAGGAGAAAGGAGCCTGACAGATCACCCATGACTATTGCTGAGTGTCACAGGGCTACAGGGACACGGAAGCTGCCTGAGCCTCAGGGCCTCACCTGTGAAATACGGACAATAATCATAACATAACGCCTATTTAACAAGTCACTGTACCCTGTGATCCAAAGCCTTGGGCTGATGACAGCCTTGGCCGTTTGTGGTTAGCAGCATTTTAAGATGGCCCTCTAGGTCCCCACCCCTACCCCCTGCCCCCACCCAGTATGCATGTCCTCCCTCAAAAGTGTGGGTGGGACCTGTGAATGGGATAGTCACTCATATGTGGCATGACGTAGTTATAAAACTCCGTCATAGCAGACTGGCCTTGAAGAAGGAAGCTGGTGTGTTGTGAGCAGGCCATGCAGCTAGTACCTAAGGGCAGCTTCTAGAAATTGAAAGTGAGCTCAGCCAACTACGGGTCACTCAAGAAAACAGGACTTCAGTCCTATAGCCACAAGTATCTGAATTCTGCCAACAACCTGAATAGCCTTGGAGAGGACCCCAGGTGCCATGTGAGGAAGCAGCCCAGCGGACATGTTGATTTTAGACCTGTGAGACCCTGAGCAGAGAACCCAGCATCTGTGCCTGGACTCCTGACCGACAAAAACTGTAAGATAATACATTTGTGTTGTTTCTGGCCACTTAATTTTCTGTAACTTGTTACACAGCAGTAGAAAACAAATACAGCTTCCCGCATTGCCAAGTCCATCTCCATGGCCACTTGGCTTGATCCCTTCCTTCCTAGACCCTTCGCCAGCAGACTGGTCTCAAGCATCTACACATCACACATCAAATGTTACCAAGCATCTGCTTCCTAGTCCTTCCCTCTGCCTCTTTGTTTTTATAAACATCTTTCCCAAAGCTTCTCAAAAAGCTCAAAACCATCTTCATCATTCCAACTATCTTTGAAAGACCCTATTGCGGTGGCCGACATGTTGAAACAGGAGACAGAACTGAAAATACATTATTGTCGGGATGAGACAGTGAGCAGTCATTACAGGCAATATCCTTCTAGTTGTCACAATAAACATTCTGTGGCTGCTTCTCTGGCATCCATTTCCACCTTCAGTCTAAAGCTCCTCCCACGTTCTTTTTGGGAGCTCACCCCTGCCTCACTCTGTGGCAGCCCACACTTGTGGTTGGGTGGGATTGATCCCCCCCTTGATGACAGGGATGACCCCTAATTAGGTTAAGCCAATCAGAGCATACTAGCCTATGAGCCACAAAACTTGATTGGCTCAGAGGTGGGCCAGGTGCCCAGTTTGGCCCAATGAGATCTGAGGCAGTGCTGACTAGGGGTGTGGGGAAGGAAGCCCCTTGCTCTGCATGGGGGTCCCCAGGCAGCAGCTCTGCCTGGCCTGTTACGGTGAGGGCCTGAGCTCTGGAGCTGTGGAGGTAAAACCGTTGCCTCTATGGGGAGCCAGATGAAGACCCAGGCAGCACCCAAAGCAGGATGGAGCCAAGAGGAACCCAGAGTAACGGAGGTGGGCCCTATGACACCTGCCCTTTGAGTCACACTTGTCTGAAGCTAGACTCTGGGGCAAATATATATACAGTTTGGGCCTCCATCCAATTTGTGTCAGGTTTTCTGTCGCTGGAGGTGAGAGCTTTCTATCTGATGCAATGTGCTCCAAGAAAAATGAACTGAAAAGCTCTTAGAATTTAGTACGACAGCCAAATACTAAATAAGTATAACAAAATCAATAGATTTTCTTGGCACCAGTAAATAAAAAAACAACAAACCAAAAAACACCTCAAAATATAATGGGTCCACCAAAAGGTACATGCAGAAATCTCCACACCCGCATTTCTCATAATACCCCTGGGTGAGAACAACCCCGGTGCCCACTAACAGGGGGATGGATAAACTGGTTTATTCATAAAACAGAAATACGATGGAAAGCCATGCAGCAGCGCTATGCACTCCCGGGTGACTCTCACAGGCAGTGCTCCGCACAAGAGATATCGAACCCCAAAAGCGTTTCTATGTGCTGTGTGACTTCCTCTAGATCAAGTTATATGTATATACTTTATATATTACTTGTGAGTATAATTTCTATGTTTATAATATGTAATTTGTGATACGTATAATATATAAAACATTTCTTTTTGGGGTATCCCATTTGCCATTTGCAGTAACGGGTGTGGGTGCAGGGTTTAGGCAGAGTTGGGGTCAGAGCCCTCCAAATCCACGTCCTCTTGGCCCTGCACCCGGAGATGTCCTGAGTGACTTTCTAGTGAAAACTGTTCTTTTGGCTTCAGAGCCTCGCTCCTCAACGCCCCCAGTTCCAACACAGGCCAAGGGCCAGGTGAGCACCTGGCTCCCTGTCAGGCCCCAGTCCTCTGCTCCCCTCTCTAGCTAAGCCCCATTTTCTCCAAAGCACCCCAGGTTGGGACATCGTATTTTACCTTCCCCTCCAAGAAAGCGTTCTCTCATCTCCACGCCAGCGCAGGCCTTGGCCCACTTGCCTGGGACAGACCGATGGGCTGTCCGCCGGCCTCACCTTTGACCTCAGTCCTGCTCTCTGGGCTCATTCGCTTGCTGCTCCTTGAACCGCCCTCCTCCCTGGGCTCCGCGGGGGTCTCTCCTTGGGCTCTCTACCCGCTACTGACAGGCCCCTCTTTGGCGTGACTCTCAATGTTAGATTTCTTGGGGCATCTTCCCTCCTCT